CGTTGTGATCTTTCAAGTTTTCTAGGCGACTTCGAGAAGGGCGAAATGCATGAATAGAGAATCATCATTTATGTCAGACGTTTGTCAATGCGTTATTTCGAAAAATTCACAAAATGCTTCTATGCAAAGTGGATCCGGACCATGTACAATCCGTAACGAATGCAATGAACAACGCTCCAACTCTTTATCTGAAAGGCAGTATCGAATCTGATTTGATGAAAGCCGATTGACTGATTCGAGCTTTTTCCTTTTATTCATCACTCCATCTTCTCTCTCTGTCTCTCTCATTTTATGTGCTCGATAAGAACATGAATAACAATGTGGGAAGTTCTTTCGAATGCAAATGCTATTTTCGACAAGCATTTTGCATCGTCAGTGTTTATTATCAAAGTTGAATAGGATTTATTTCTTGTTTAATTGATCACAGATCAATTTTCATTGTTTCGCATCAAATAAAGCCGCATTGACGATGAAATTTTGATTTTTATGTCCTCATAGTCGGGTAGTACTTCAATCTCGGTTGGATCTATCGAATTCAGATAACATTGCCGAAGTTTGTTGCCAAACGAATTTAAAAGAGTTTGAAATGCTTCTTCACCATTCTGTTCACGATAGGTTTGCGAAGCTGAAAGCGTTTCGAATAATCCCAGAAAATATTTGAGAGTTGTTTCATGGAATTCATTGATCGTAAATTCTTGACGCGTTGATGAAAATGGTAATTGTGGCAGTAGTGATCGATAATAATCATCTACCAGCCATCGTCTCGGATTCCAATAAGGATAGAGTTCAACGAGTTCCAATTCATGATATATAGCATCGGCTTTTGCATTATCCAGTGTCAATGTCGCATAGGTCCATACAGCAAAAACTCCTGTATGTGGCTTAAGTACACGTCGAACTTCACTGACAAATTGATCGATATCCAACCAATGCAGACCCGTAGCAATTGTAACCAAATCCACGGAATTATCCTCGAGGAAAGTTAAGTCTTCTGCTTTCTGACATCGATATTCCACGTTGTCCTTCTGTATCGCGTGTGCAATTTGATTGGCACTTACATCAATACCAATCACTCGATCACAATACCTGTGTACAAAATCATTATTTTTTTCTACGAGTTACCAGATGTATCGAAATGATTGTCATAAGTTTTTTTTATAAACTACCATTATTAGTGCGAACACGATAGTACGTTGGCTGTCTTAACAACAAAATGCTCTAACAAAACTACGAGAGATTATCTGAATCTATTTGTTTGAATTTGAGCAGACGAATAAGAGTGCTCATATCTACCATTTGGCTACTATGCACTAATAATGGAACTTCTCCATATGAAGCTTTCATTTTCGCATCATATTTAACAATCTGTAAGCTTCACGGAAAAATACTTTCGAGTGATTCGTTCTGTTTCCCTTCATATTATGCCTATATGTAGGGAACCAGTAGATTGGAATAATCTCCAAAGTGTTCGTTTTTATGTCTTCGAATTTTAATCTAAAGCTTTATCAACATGAAGGTCTTGCTATAACTAGCTCATCTATGAAGCGTCATCATTTCTGGAGTAGTAAGTTGCCGACATATTAAACTTTCAAAACATCAATGTTTGATATTGTATCTACCGAATAGTGCTGTTTTTGAAAAATTATATGTGACAACGTAGTTGTGAAAAAATCGAATTACGAAATTTCCACTTAAAATTATGCTCGTCGGTGAATTTCACGAAGATCAGAAGGCCCTGAAAATTTAGGCACTAAAAGATCTAACCATCTTTAGATACTGAATATCCAAGAACAGTCATGTGCCACGAAGAAAGATAAGCAAGCTCAGTGTTTTTACAATCAAAATTTCAGGTAGAAATATTGTAATTCGTTGTTTTTAACTAATACAGTCTCAGAGGCAAGAAGTTCAGTAAGACTGTAATAAATTGGAGAAGAGAGTAGATTGTGACGAATCGGTACAGACTTCTCCTAGTCTTATCATGGTCTACCTACAGACAAAAATATCAGTTCAATTGACTAGTCAGATTTATAGGATGTTTACTTTTTCCCATTGAAAATCTTAAACGCAAAAGATTGACATTTCAAGCTTAAAGTGCCATCACTTATGTTCCTGGAATTTCATATAGTTAGAGATAGTTTATTCTATTCAAGCGGCTTATAACTGACTGCAAATACGATACATTGGTGCTACAAATGAGATTAAGTGCATGCCAATAAGTTCAAAATAGTTTTATACAGAGAAAATTGTTCGCATGGTTAGGAGATTATAGGACCTCAGGAAGTAAAATTCTTCTAAAGGTTTCCTGGCTTTTCTTCAGAGCCCTTTCGAACGGTTGAGATGAACACTCTAAGTGGTAACTTCGACTAAATCGCATGGCCTTTCTATATGCTTTTTTCTATGAAAAAACTTTGTTATCAATTAAATAGATGCACTAAACCACGTGAAAATCTCTCAGAGGATCATTAATCATAATGAGAAAATGTCCTGAACAAAGAAAAGACAATTTAATTGTGTTGATATTGTCAAAGAAAAAATTACTCTTAGATCAATCAAAGTATGTATGAGAAAAATCAAGGATATTGCACTCTTTCTCGTAAATGGCTTTCTTTTAAATGTAAGAAGTTCATGCCAAATCGCAGTAGAAAAGTAACGAAGCAGCAAATAAAAACACTCGTTGAAGCCAGATTGTTGAGTACTTTATAAACTATAGATTGTTAAAATTTTGTTTCCACATCTTATTTCTCATCTGAAACTGCTTGAGATATTTCTTAAAAACTAAATCGTCTTTATTCAAAATTTGTTGTAACAACACTGGCTCTTATTTCTAGTGATATATGGATCAAAATGATGGATTGAGTTATTCTGTATGACATTCTACTCGGTTTTTTGTGAGTTATTTCTTGGTTTCGTCATCTTGTCATGTTCTACTTTCCAAATTAGTAAAACTTATTGAATACGAATTTGTAAGACCAGGACTTCAATTAGTCGCAACAGTTTAAAAAAAACACTATGAATTTCAAAAACTTTTTATAAATATTAATATATTAAAGTTAACATTTGCCTAGCATCCTTATAGTAAGTGTTCATACTAGTTGCCTTTCAGTGGTTGAATTTTAGGAAGCTCTGAAAAATTGACCGTAGGAGGTAACATGGCATCATTTTAACTAAATCTCGTGTAAGAAACCGAAAAATTAACTCCTTATCGTTTACAACGGCTCGGTTTTAGTCCAATTATCTAATATAAAAGAGCAGATTTATTTTATATGAATCTGCTTTAATCAATTCAAACTACATGAATTTGTCTTTTTATACTGAATAATCAAATTATCATCGCATTAAAACCGTGCTCTTATTATTGATTAGAAATCAAGTTCTGCAATCAGATAATCAACAGCCTAATAATTGACACAATGATTTAGACACATGTGGTATATCCAAAATTAAAAATTTACTTGCTGATATCCACAGTTGCTTGGCCACTGCCACAAGCTATATCAAGCGCCAGAGGAATTTTGTTTTGTTCCAGTTGACCATCGAAATAAAACTCCCGAATACGACTGTAGAGGTCCGATGGATAAGATTGCCGATAGAGTAGGTATTTATTAGCATGTCCTTGCCGGTCAAATAGTGTGTGCGTCATACCTTACTGTTGGCTTTCCAGCTTCACAAGTGAAGCTGATAACTTTATTTATTCTTTTGTTTTCATTATCTCTCATTTTTTTTTCTTTCGTTTGCTCAGTGCAAATTAGCAAGCACCCATACCTACCCCCTTAGCAGAAAAGAATAGAACGAGACAAATAAACGATATGTTAGTTTCGATGTAAACTTTGTTTATTTGACAAAACAAACCACCCAGTATTCTTGTTGTAGTAAACGGGTGTATATGACTTCTTTACAATCATGGCCACAGTCCTAAAGCGAATCGAGATTGCATTGATTACCGTTTATGAACTTTGTTCCATGCAACTAAGTATTCGAATACATTTTAATACTATCGTATTCTAAAGATTCCGAAGCTCTAATCAATATCCACTTTCACAAGACATCAGTCCCTCGTTCCAGACTTGCAACTGATAGATTGTTTTCCTTACCGATCAGACTGGACCATTCGGTAGACAGACTAGCAGTGTCCTAATTCATATTGAACTTTAATTTTGGATCAGATCCAATTTTTATAGAAAAGACTTGAAGTCAGCCTACTTATACATAGTATTTCGACTACGATTCAGCATTAGAATGACTATATTTCTACGAAGAGCCATTAAATAGTTAAAATCTTGATCGTTCGTTCGGTCATGTGCATCAAAGAGGCCCAATATAATTGACAAAACTCGAATACAGACTTAGTTAACTCCAAGTTTGGATCTGTTCGGTGTGGGAAAAACGAGTATCTTTACCCTACAACCACAGTTTCATTTGTTTATTAAAGTGGTACTCTCATTTCAGCAAAGTGTTTAGCCATTTTACAATAGGCGATGAAGAGTTGTTTGATCAAAACAAATCTATTTATTATCATTGCCATGATGATCTTTCAGTAAGGTACTATATGAATAACAATTAAAAAAAATTCAGGAAACGAACATCGCCTTGAATTCGTCTTTTCTTATCCAATTCAAACTAAAATCTAATGGACCATTGTTATTATCAAAACAGGCTCTCTTTTTCACAGAGCTTACAATGCACTTGCACTCTAAACATCAATTTACTTTTGATAGAATCTTGCGCACATATTTATCTGCTGATTGATATCATGGCTCGAGAGAAAAGTCAAATATTTAGTTTTAATCATCGGATCATATTTCAATGACAATTACGAACAAAAAAAGGAAGCATCTGTTTTATTGAAAAGCTTAGTGAGGTTCTTATAAAAGTTCGAAGTTTCACACGTGGTGTTATTGATTCTCAAATCACAAGCATTGCAGTTTTTACTTGCACAAAGTACAATGTCTGTTTCAACAATTATGCTACTCTCTTCACTCAGTATTCTTATGAGTAAGGCCATGTTCGATCCATCATCATTTACCCAGAATAGTTGTACGAACAACAACGAATGGACAACGTGGTTTGATACATCTGATCCGAATTTGTCGCAAGGTGAATTCGAAGTAACCAAGCATATTCAACAACTATTTCCAAGTTTCATGTGTCCTGATCCGATTGCTATCGAAGTAGGCTCAATGTCCTACACATGGAAGCTTCTCTTTTTGTCAAACACGAGTGAAAATAAGTGTTGAAGTATATAGTAAGAAAAGTGATCAATCGCTCTCTTCTCTTTCCTAGTGTCAGCCTGCTCTACAGACTGTGGCAGACGGACAGAATAATATTCTATCTAACTCTCAGACATTATATGATGGACGTAGATAGGGCTATCATTTTCAATTGAATGGTTCAAGCATGGTTCATATTTTTATTCGTAATGATAATACTAAGTTTTCTTTTAGGTTCGAACACTATCTGATGATGAACCAGCAAAAACCGGTGACGTCTTTCGATTTACCAAAACAGACGGTTTCTTGTGTTTGAATCAACAGGTCGTCAATTTTAAAACGAAACTGTGCGCTGATTATAAGGTTCGCTACTGTTGTCCCACAAATAGCATTGGACAACCTGTAACGCCGACAATGCCACCAGTGGTTGCTACGACAAAACCGATGACAGCTAACACCTGTGGTCGTCAGGCCATTACTCCATCATCTCAACGAATTGTTGGTGGTGTGGAAGCCGTTGCTCATTCTTGGCCATGGATTGTTTCGTTGCAATCAGGCGATCATTTCTGTGGTGGTACACTGATTGATAATCGTCACGTACTTACGGCTGCACATTGCATAGACTCAACAAATTTTCGAGTCATTGCTGGTTTACATCAACGAACTAATGTCAACGGACCGCGCTCACAAAACCTCCGAGTGTCACGCATCTTCATCCATGAACAATACAATTCAATAACTGAAGCCCACGATATTGCATTGATTCGTCTTGCACAACCGGCACAATTCAATGACTATGTCAATGCAATTTGTTTACCTGGACCTGATCCTCAGGAATCTCAACGCGTCACAGTGGCTGGCTGGGGTCTTCTATCATCAGGTGGAAACAGCGCCAACTCACTCCGTCAGGTCTCTGTCAATGTGATGAATAATCAAGCACAAAAAGCTTATGGAAATGTATTCGATGTACGACGACAGATCGGTGCCGGTATTCCGAACATTGGCGGAAAGGATAGCTGTCAAGGTGATAGTGGTGGTCCATTAATGTACAATGCAAATAATCAATGGTATCTTTCCGGTGTGGTCAGTTTCGGAGAGGGATGTGCTTCCGCAAGTCATCCGGGTATTTACACTCGTACTAGTGCCTATCTCAATTGGATTCGAAGTAAAATTAATACTGCTTGATTGAAATGAATAACATTAATAAATATACAAAAATGACCTGAATTGCGGATATTTGTTTCATTAATCTCTGCTAAAATTGATTGTATGTGTGGGTTTCGCATAGCTTTGTTTTTGATGATCTATCTTGAAATACAAGGATGTGATATGATATTAGCCCATGAAAATCCATTGTCATAAATTCATGTCATCTGACATGAAATGAAAGTCATGACATCAATTAGTAATTGTCTTTTGTCATCTTCCTTGCTCTAGAGTAATTAGAGGAGTAATAATTGGAGAACGACATTGCTCAAATCAATAAAAGACATCGCAGGATATCTTAGGACGATCTCGAAATAAATTTAATATTGTTCCCCACTATCAGTAATTCTGTTCTTCAAAATCATTCAGATATGTTAAACCAACAGCATGAAACACAATGAAAATCGGACAATCAAGAAATAAGAATAAGGGTGTAGGTATGCTCAGCAGGACAAAAACTGGTTATAAGAGTTTTAAAACGCGTTAAGCCAGTGTTTTTACTGTTGTAAAACGTTTAAACACGTGAGTTGATTCAATTCGTACTTTAAACACGTTTTTCAAAGCTTTTTTTAGTGTTTTTTTTACTGTAAACCGTTAAAACAGCATCATTTTGTTGCTACAGAATAAACTACGTTTAAACAAGAAATTTCCAAAATAAAGTAAAATAAATGACAAAAATCGAAGTTAATTTCTATTAAGTATATAATAGTTGGAAATTTTCTTTTTAATAGAGCTTTCGAGTTCTACATACTCATCATCAGTATCAGCATGATGTTGTATTGTTGCCTATTAAACTTCAAACTAAATGAATAATAGTGATATAATACTGATGATGGGTCGGTAGCACCCGAACGCTCTATTAAAAAGAAATTTTCTACTATTATATAATTAATACAAATTAACTTCGATTTTTGTCATTTATTTTATTTTATTTTAAATATATCAATCTATACAAGTCCTATTATATTATTACATATTATATCATTATTATTCAAGAAATTTTCATTCTTGTTTAGATCATTTTAAATGAATCGATCATTATTCGCTACAATCTTCACACACTATTTAAATATTTTCTTACATTCTAGCTAACGAAACATACTTGTCTAACTATGAGATTAACAATGATAATATGATATGACACACTCAAATTGCATGCAGTGCATTGTTATACTCGTGTTGGAGACATGAAATATTAAATTATCAGCAGTTGATGATGTCCTCAATCGTTCTATTTTTGTATATCTACTATGTCTATGCTATTCACGATAGACTATGATGAGCTACTGTTGTTGACACATTAATGGCAATCATTTTGTGTATATTTTTCGAAAACTCATCTCATTTTATCAAAAGTGTGAGTGAAGCAACCTGTCAAAAAAAATGTTGGGATCTTTGATGAAAATTGACCATTGTTGCACGAATTATTATCTAAAAGTGTAGTTCGTATTTTATAACTAAAGTCTGTCGTTTTTTGAAAGCAATATTCATGATTATTGATCCCTTTTTGACGTAGCTAATTAATTCGACTAGTCAATGGCCCATGTAAAAAAGAAAAAAAGAAGACAATTATAAGCTCGTATTCATCTTCATAAAATTCTGAGCTCTGCTTAGTGAAGTACACTTGTTTTTTTGACAAATACTGGACACGATACTTGTCGTTTCATTTCTACCAGTCAACATAGGTCTCATCGATATTTCTGTAACGATTTTCAGTGATTTCATCAAAAATTAGAATTTTCTCTAGCTTCATAAAATTCATGAAGTGTTATTCAGTATTTGATATCAAAATTTGTCATCATATGATACTTGGCTAATATATTAGCTAGACCCACTAGCATAAACACTCACACCCCAAACCGACATACTTTCACCTTTTGTTTTCAGTATACTTGATTTATTTAAATACCCCTTGTTACTCTACCTGGATTAATAGGCATTCAAAGTCTCGTTTTTGTTGATCTTAATGTATGATAAGTTACATTCGTTTGTTTGTATATTTTTCTTGATATTGCTGGTAATTGTTTTCTCTTCCATTGTATTACTCATAGCGAATGTGTATCAAGTGAAACATTTCTTTTAACATTCAAAATATTGACTCATAAATACAAGTGATTGCGTGAATGTTTTATAAAAACAACAAACTAGTAAGTATATATAAAACTGCACAAAAACAATTTTAAAACATTACTGTTGCATCCTAGTGAAAAAACAAGAACTATATTATGTGAACAACAGATGACAATGCATCGGATAACTGTCCGCGTATATCTCACGATGGTGATAGTTTTCGTCCAATTAATTTCTATGAAAAGCATTTCGAATGTGGCGATGGTGACGAAATAGATCTTGAATATCCAACTTGGATATGTGGTGCTCTAACTGAACATATTAATGGCTTCAGTACTGACATGAGGAAAGAATCATTGGAAGCATGTTGAAAACTGAATCATGAACGAAGGGATTATCATAAGAATTCGTTGCTCATTGAAGATATTATTGGCCCTGATCTTCTGAGGTGTAAGCCTTGTCACCGTTACCAATTCTACCTGCTATGAAAAGTCTGGAAAGATGAAGAGAAGATGGCATATCACGCATGCAAGAAATGAAATTTTAATCCATTGAACTTATGTGAATCTTATCCTTGGATACCAAGTGGATTTCACATCTGTCAAGGTGAAAATGGCAGATGTGGCACGCACATTGAAACACCTATTAGTCATCTATCAATAGATATAAAATAGTGCACAAGAAGAATGCTTGGAGTGATATTCATTATGGCAGTTTTGATGGCACTGTTTTTATCAAGTTGGCTAATGCTTTGAGGCATAAAAGAAAACAACGATGAGTCCGAGAAGTCGAGAGCAACTTGCAACATATATCAAGTCTGATTAGAGAAAAATATGAAGATCAATGTCGGACTACATTCGATAACGTTAAGGTCGATTTTTTTATCATTGTGTATCTTCTCAAATAAAAATTTCTTCGATGAAGAAAAATGAAGTGTTGTTCTGACGATCATTTAGATAATCCAGCTGAAAGTGAGATATAGTTACCACGATCATGATTTCATCCCTATTAGAAGATCCATCAGGCAATTGGAGTCTCAAATGGTCAAGCACTAGATCTGTCAAACTATTCTGTAACTATGTGTTTATCCAAAGCCAAAGCACTGGTAAAAACAAACGTCATCGAGCTTTCTTTGTTTCTACGACCAACGCCTTCAAAAAGTTTCCGAACTGATTTTATATGGAAACAACAAGAAGTGCTGATGCATTAGTGTTCTCATCTGCTGATATTGCGCACAGTATTCTATCTATAGACTAGAACAATGAGATGACAGCACTTTCTAGACGATTCTAAAAATGTTGATGAAAAATCATAAATTTAAGAATCGTTCAACAATCGATTCTTGTTTTGGAAGGTCTATTACCACCCAATATTTATAAATGTACAATAGCAATTGATAGGAATAAAGCCTCATCATGGATGTGGATGTGAGAGTGAATATTCTTTTGACTCACACACCCCAAAAAGTTCGACTAAATCAGTTTATTTCAAATCGATAAAATTGAGCATTGGTACATCCTTGTTTTCCTATGCGTGAAAACAGATACGATTACCAGTAGCAACCTATCTTCGACTGCTTTATTGAAACGATTACTTATCATGAAAATACATATATCATTTGCTGAGTTCATTTTTCACTCATTTTTATCATTGCCCATGCCAAGAACAATAACGAAAAAGACTCAGTCATATTTGACCCATTCAGCAGTAAATTGGAACGGTTCCATTAGTAGGAAGATTCTTTCCCTAAACGTTCGAATAATCGTAATTGAATGATGTCCTTCGTCTGTTAACTGGTCATGTAAAATGTTTAGATCGAGATGATTTTGTTTGCAAATATTTTCATGTGTTCTGTTTTTTCAAATGAGCTGCACGTTGTTTGGCCCATCTTTCTTTCCAGAATTGAGTTATTGTTTCGACTGATTGAAGTTTATCCCTGTCATAATTTGCATTCTTTTTTAGAAGAAAATCTCTGGCATTACTACCAGTCCAGCCACAATAAATTCCACGTTGATCACCGTGATAGAAAAGTTGATTACTATCAATATGTAATTGTTGCGCTAGAAATCGTAATGATTGCCATTTCGATTGTTTTCGAACATTGAATTTTGGATAATTTTCTTCTAAAAAACGATATACTTTGTTCATAAAGGACATTGGAATATGACTGGTTCCATATCCTTGAGTATAGCCAATAAATTTCAATTGCTTAAGTCGATCATATTGAACGGATTTTCCATGAATCGATGTTGTGGTGATCAAGGCCAAAGAATTCAAATATCTCATTTCATACATCTGGTGAAGCTCTAAGGAGAACGCGAGCATAGCTAATAATTTTCCACCACAAAAATCAAATCCAAATGGTTGTACAGGAACACAAATCGACAAATTAGCCGAATGATTACGAATGTATTGCTTCAATTGACCCCGTTTTTTCTCATCCAAACCAATAAAATCGTCTTTAAATTGACTTTTCAATAGATCAGTTGTCAGTTGAATAATACCAAGAAAACGTTTCGAATATTTATCGTGAATTAAAACTGACAAAACACGACCAGGTGTTTCGCATTGAGGCATTGATGATATATTATGCCGAATGAAATTAAATAAATCACGTTGATCCTCATTCTCTACATGGATCAATTCTAGTTGAATTTGTTCGACATCATCGTAAGATGATGAATTCCAAAGTAGATTCGAATAAAAACTGGGATCATTTCTTGGACAATAAGTCGCTTTTGTTTCTTCTTTATGCTTTTTCACTGACAATTGTTCGATTTCTTGAAGAATTTCGTTTTTGAGATCCATCAAAAACATCGATTCTCGTTGAAAATAGTTGTTTGAAATGTGAACTCGGTGATGACAGAGTTTTTATTCTTCAACTGAGATTATTTCGCAATTACACCTCA